TGAACCCTAATTTTGACCCCTTTTTTTTGTTTAAATTCTTTCATCTTTACAAATCGGTTACAATATTTTCTATCATAATTTACATGATTTGATATGTTTGTTTGTCAACATGTATGGAAATTCTATGTTGTCGATTCTGAATATCCAACTAAGGATAGTTATTTGACATTATTCAAGGGAAAACGCTACCATTTGAATGACTATAGAAGGAGACAAAATCAGCCTAGATCAAGAAAGAAGTTGTTCAACCATAAGCACTTTTCCTTGAGAAATGTAATTGAATGGCCTTTTGGAGCTTTAAAGAATATCAGGAAAGGAAGCAACGGTCTCCTTCTTCAATTTTTTTCCCCTTTCTTTGTCTCATCTTCCCAATTGCTTTTGTTTCAAAATGTTATCAGAGAGAATATTAATAGTAGAGCGCTTACTTTTGATGGGTGCCAAATGGGTGATCTGATCAAATGCTCCACTGTTAGATTTTTAAAAGCTCATCTTTTAATTATTACTTGATTTATGCTTATCATATTTATCATATCGTGACGGAAGCTTGTTAGGTACATTTGAAATTCACTTTGGTTTTCATTTCTTATTTTCATTTATTATTCATTATTGTAAAGGCATAATTTTTTTCTAAACTACCATTTTTCTTAAAAATTTTTTTATTACTATTTAAGTTACTATCAATTAATTGGTAAATCAGTTTTATATCAAATTGATTTTGAATAATAATACAATGCAAAGATTTCTATTATGTCTTAATTATTATCAATTATATATATAGGTTTTTTTTATTTGAATTATTATATTTATTGCTCATCTATAATTTTAATGACACTAATTAATTATTTTTTCAATGTATCACTTGTATTATTATTTTTTTGGAAACAAAACTTGTATTATCATATTGCTACCATGGTTTATTAATATATATTTTTATATTATTTCTTCATTTCATTTATAGCTTTTGAAAATTTTATATTAACATAATTATTCTATGACTATTAATTGTTATTCATGTTAGTTTTTTTTTTTAAAATAAATTCATATTGGTTTTGGGATCTATGCAAATGGTACAACCCAAATCACCTCCAGGCAGCGAACCTCCTAGGGGAGTTTCACCTCACTTGTATGCATCTAACCCATCTCTCGATGTCAATGTGCACACACATTATACACACCATCCCTTATTTGGCTCAATTGCCCATCGTGTATAGTGATTTACAAATGACTTAACTTTCCTACCAAACTCACTTTTTCATTAATTTAAGGTTCACAACCTAGATCAAATGATTTGATCTAAAATGGTTTTTTTTTTTTAATTTGAATTTGAATTTGAAATTTATTATCAATTTGAAAAGCTTTGAAGTAGTAATGTATATAATTAATTAATTTTTTTATTAATATTTGTACCTAATAGCATTAAGAACACGTTCCGACTATTATTAGGTTACATTTTGCATTAAGAGCTATGTGGAATTTTTCTAATTTGCTCTTGATTTTTTTTAAATGGGTGTTTGAATTTGACTGCAATTCCATAATGTCCAGAAATGGTAAATACCCAACGGCAGTGGACTCAGCCAGCAAAGCCATGACTATGGTTTTCACTGTTGTCTCAATTTACGGCCTAATAGCATGCAAGCTAAGGGTTTTTTTCTCCACAAGAAATTGTGGCATCCACTTGATCATCGGAACAAGCTCTGAAGAAAGCATCTCCAACCTACTCTCTGTCACTGTTTAAAATCTATCTCATATTTGATTATTGGTCTTGATTTTTTCATGTTGTAATAGATAAAATTATCTCTTATATATATATATATAAAAATGTACGGAGTTCATATGGAGCCGAAGAGAAGAGAGAGAAAAAAATATGAGTCCCACATATTTCATATTCTTACATGTGTGTAGAAAATAAAAATTATCTTTTACAATATAAGAGATATTAAACCCTTGATTATTTTACCAACTCACACAAACTTATAGTAATGTTCGTTGGTAATAATATGTTTAAAATCCACTTGATTTTGAGTACAACATATCTAAGATTTGGCCTAATGGTGTGAAAGGCTACGCTTGGTTTGAATGGAGAATGTAGTTAGTAAAATAATATTATTTTATTATTTAAATAATAATTTGATGTAAAATAAATAATATGATATAAGTTAACCTTTGTAAAAATAGGTTTATGATTTTTTTTTTTAAATAATTTTATTATTGTAAAAACAAATTTTTTTTTAAGTCATTAGCCTATTCAATTTTATTAAACATATTAAGGAAGGCCGGATCGTTGGACCTGGATAGGCCAACTGGTCTATTACCATGCCGTCAATTGGTAAAGGGTTTATGTGGGTCTCTGTACCTCACATGATACTTTGTCAAGGATTGTGTTAAATTGTTAAACCATTGACTGATCAAAGCGGAAATTCAATGAGTCATCTACTGCAATGGCTGTCTTCCATGCCCTTAAGATAGCTGTGACTTCTGCTACAGTGTCGATCTTGCTAACCCAAGAGAAACACCTAATTCGATAAGTTATCTGTAAGTAAGTCCGTCAATGAGAAAGAATTGATGGCCTTAGTACTGGACATTCAACACCGGAAGTCATATCTTCTAGTCCGGAAAAAATCTAATATCTTTCAGGTTCACCATTTATTCAGTAGTCTTTTTTCTATAAATAAAAAAAAAAAATTCATTTCTATGTCTCTTTTTTTGATTTTTTCTCCCTCCATCCTTTCATTTTTTCTATTTTGAAAAAGGATCACCGTGATCCAGGTCCACAGAATACCTTCTCCCTAGGCTGCGAGTTTACAATCGATAAAAAAAAGTATGAAACATCATCTCTTGGAGCAAAGGATTATAATTATGGTTTGATTTAGGGATATATGTGATAAAAAATTTACTCTCATACATGGTAAAAAAATATCACAAACATAGGTAATTTTGGAATAAAACAGAGACATTGATGATCTTTTCTCTTATAATTATAGGGAAATTATAATTTTCTGTAACAGGAAAATCAATCTCTTATGCAATAGATACATGTTTTTTGAAGTGGGTCCCACTATATAATAAAATAAAAAGAAAAAATTATTAACACATTTTCTCATGAGTGTGCAGAAAAATTTGGTATCTTCTGTGGCTGAAGAAAATATAGCCCCATAATTATAACCCAAAACCAATAAAATTGGTTAGTGAATTTGCTTGGATATGAATTTGATATAGTGTATTAGGTGGAAAAGTTGAATAAAGTTATAGATGTCTTCTCTAAACGCGAAGAAGAGGAATTCCAAGTTATTGATAGAATAAATTTTGAAATTAATTATGGTTTTGAATAAGATGTTGAAAATGTGTGTCTTTTCAATACCTAATAGGTGTCATTAAAATCATGACCTTTCATGATTTTATAAATATGAAGGATTCCGGTAACATTATGATTATTCAATCCCCTATCACTCTCTAAACTTTCATTTGCAAAAATTACTTTCGTAAAGCTTTAAATCTCAAAGAATAACTTTGTGGGGAAAAAAATTAATTTATTGCTTTTTTAATAAAAGTTACGAATAAGTAGTCGTTTTAAAATTAATTACGAAAATATAACAGTCAAACCCGCCCCATAGGGGCGTGACCGGTTGGAGAGAGACACGCCCAATGTTGGGCGTGACCTAAGCGTGACTCACGCCCACATGGGGCGTGACCAAGTTGGAGAGAGACACGCCCAATGTTGGGCGTGACCGAGGTGAGAGACACGCCCAATGTTGGGCATGACCGAGGAGAGAGACACGCCCAATGTTGGGCGTGTTTCACCAGGTGCTGCCACGTGTCACAAAAGTCAATAATTTGACCGTAAAACTTTGAAAATCCATAACTTTTGATTCGGGTATCCGAATTAGGTAATTTTTTTTGATTCCACATAACTTTTCGAGATCTACGTAATGACACATAATTTGACCTATTTTATCTCTCACAAAAAATTTGAATTTACAACAATGATACCATAATTATTAAAAATGACATGACTTTGTTATCTTATAATTATTACTAAAAATAATCTAACATTTTTATAATCATGAACAAAAACTTAAAAATAAAAATAAAACGAAAAGGTCTCACTTAACTTTTTAAAATTATTCGATATTCTGTCACCGACAGATGTTAACTTTTATTACTTATAAATTTCATAAAATTCTTCATTCAAAATTTTAATATATATCTCAATAACATACATAATTAACCTTATCATAACTTACCATAATCATAAGGATCTTTATTATGAATGTTTCTAATCATAACAGTGGTTTTATGTCCATTAATTTTTGTTTAAACGTTCTTATGGTATCATTATTGTAAATTCAATTTTTTTTTTGTGAGAGACAAAATATGCCAAATGAGGTGTCATTACGTAGATCTCGAAAAGTTATGTAGATTCAAAAAAAAAGTTACCTAATTCGGATACCCGAGTCAAAAGTTATGGACTTCCAAAGTTTTACGGTCAAACTGTTGGCTTTTGTGCCACGTGGCAGCACCGGTGAAACACGCCCAACATTGGGCGTGTCTCTCTCCAACAGGTCACGCCCCTATGGGGCGTGTTTAACTGCTATATTTTCGTAATTAATTTCAAAATGACTACTTATTCGTAATTTTTTATTAAAAAAGTAATAAATTAATTTTTTTTGCCTAACTTTGTGCACAGTAAATGTATATATATACGTAGCTGGTAGACAAAACAAATACAGACTATGCATATTGAGGAAATACGGGGTTTTTTTTTTTCTTTCTCCCTCTTACATTGCTAAGTAGAAATCCTACAGAATATGTTATCTTCCAAAGAGATGTAAGACATAATTGTAGATATAACACAATAAAAAAAATAAAAAAATGATATTTCGGTTTTAAATATGATGAACAAATTACATGTTCAAAAATGCTTCATGAGCTTGTTCCATTCATAGTCAAACAACAAATGTTTTGTGGGCTTAGGCCCATTTAGGTTTTTGTGAGGGACTAGTGTGAGTGAGTGACAGTGTTTCAAAACCTAGCTTAAGCTACAACAGAAGCAACCATGGCGAATAGAAGGTGCCTGCAAGCTCTAACGCGCCAAGCACAAGCTACAAACTTTCTCTTCACAAACCCATCATCATTCTCTGTGCCCCCTTTTACAAACCCACCTCTTATCCCTAACCTTTCATCAACCCTTCTTCCCATTTTCACCAATTCCAGACCCACCTCTGCTTTTGCACAATGGTCTCACCTACGCTATTTCTCTTCCACCAAACAAGATGATCACATCAACAAAGGCAATAATGAAGAAGTAGAAGATGAAGATGATGATGATTATGATTATGACGATGAAGAAGAAGAAGAAGAGGAGGAGGAGGAAGAAGGTTTTGTTTCGGTGTCAAGGGGAAAAAAGGTGTATACGGCGGAGGAGAAGGAAGCAGAAGCAGTGGCAATTGGGTACAAAGTAATGGAACCCCTTAACAAGAACGATCAAGTTTTTAAGCCCTACGAGCCTGTTTTCGCTGTTGTTCAGGTTCAATTTGCAAACCTTGTGTGATTCTGTGTATCAGTTTTTCGTTTTTTGTCTCCTTTTTAATAATTGTGTTTTTTTTTTTTTTTGGTTTAAGATTGGTTCGCACCAGTTTAAAGTAAGCAACGGGGACAGCATTTTCACTGAAAGATTGAAATTTTGCGAAGTGAATGATAAGGTGAGTGACCATTTTGCTTGCACCTGTATATAATACCCTAAAATTAGTGTTTTGAGTATGATTGGGCTTCAGGTAGAGGGTTCTTTCCAAAATGGGGGTGTTTATGGATCATTTATTGGTTTAAACTTTAACTTAAGGATGGACTCTCGAGGATCAATGTATGACTTATATTATTATAACTTCACTGTGTATATATTCAGTTGATTTGATTTCATAATGACATGATATTGTGCTAATGATTAAGATTTAGATTATGAGCAATAACATTATTGCATTTGTTTCGAGAAATCTCTGATTGTATTTTTTCTTTCTTTTAGTGCTTGATTAAAAGATTCTATCTTAAATTTTTTGTTAAATCCAAACACTTCCTTTCTTTTCCCCCATATACATTGGCAATGATATTTTTTCATAACTAGCGTTGGATTTTTGTTTTGTTTTGTGAAATGCAGTTTTTTATTGCCCCCCTCGCAGCTTACCACTTTGATAGTTCTATGATGAACCACTCTGTTTGTGTAATTGCAGTATAATAATTATGTCAGTAATTTTCTCAAATATTAATAAGTGGCTTGTTTTCTGTGTACTAATTATTTGCTATTTTCTTTGTTATGGGATCTTTCATGCCAGTTAATTGAATATTCCATTATTCTTTTTTCCCATTACAGTTGATTCTAAACAAAGTTTTGTTGCTTGGCTCCGCTAGTCAGACAATTATTGGCAGACCCATAGTGCCAGATTCGGCTGTTCATGCTGTTGTTGAGGAACATGTAAGTGTAGAACTTCCCAATTCAATTAAATTTGGTATGCAGAATCAGCTTTCTTATGATGGGAGTTGGAATGGAATAGGTTTGGAATAGAATGATCATTCTTCTTTCAGTGTTTTCTTGCGTCGAGGTTGCAATTGATTTTCTTTCCATTCACACATTTACAATCATAATATAATGGAATCAGAATTGTGACTAAATGACATAATTTCAATTAGTTGAGAAAATTAAAAGAATTATATATTGAATTTAATTCATGCATACGCATATGATTTTCCTCTAATAGTATGATATCCTGTAAACTTTAATTGTCAGTGGCTGGTCCCCTGTTATCTGCATCCATGCCATATATTTGTCTTGCTTCTAATAGCTTTTGATATCTGTTATGCAATGATGAAATTTCGTGTTCTTTTTTGAATCACTGTATATTTGTTTTCCTTTCCATGTATATGCTTTCATGTGTGCTTATTTTTCCTTTATCCCAGGCACTTGATGCAAAGGTAATTATTTTTAAGAAAAAGAGAAGAAAGAATTACCGAAGAACCAAAGGACATCGCCAGGTGTGTTGAAAAGCAATTATTTAATAAGACCATGTTTTCATAACAAATTGTTGATATTTAACGTGCTTGATGCATGATTATCATCTTCAGGAGTTGACCAAGTTAAGGATAACTGATATTCAAGGAATTGAGAAACCGAAAAATGTATTAGCTGAAAAGCCTTCAAAAGCTGCTAAGAAGGAACGGGAAAAGGTTGCAGTTACTGCTTAAAAAGGATGTATACCCTTGGCCGTTGACAGTAATTGCTATCTGTATGTCTCAATGAGTTTTGCCAGTTGGATGCTATGTAATGAGCATAATTGTATTGCTGATAAGCTCCATTTACGTGCGCAACTTCATGTTAGGTGGAAATGGTCAACCATCTGCTAGGTGTGGTTTTGTAGGATTGATTACACAAAATTTTTCCTTTCCCTTTGTAATGCTATATTTAGTGGTTCAATGTTTGAAAATGAATTCATTCATTCTTAAACAGGTTTCATGGTCTCAAGAAATTTAGTATTTACTCCCGGATTCTATTTAGTTGAAAGCATGATACTATATCATGCATTGTACCGACTTCTGACAAAAATAAAGTATGCAAACTTCATCTTTCACATCCTGTGCAGGGAAAAACTGAAGATAAGGTGAAAAAGGATTCTTATGTGATTCTTATTTGAAGACAATATCTTGATATATCTTGACCAAAATACCAGGTCTGCATTTGTGTGTTACTGTGTACTTTGTCGAAATATTTTGCTGAAAGGATTGAAAAACGTTTCTATTAGACTCAAAAGTGGCATTGGCATAAACTCTCTTTGGACATTGCTTAATCTGGAGTTCATATTCCAAACAGACCACTTGTCAAGTTACTTTTCCCATCTCCTTCCTCTCCCAAAATTTGTCAAATTTGTTATATGAATTGATTGGTTGATAAACTAGTTACGTTACCCTTCTGTGCTAGTGTTAATATTCTGTCGAGGGGTATGTTCTCTGACTGCAGAGGATGAAGCCCCCATCAAGATTGCATATATGAATACAAGAGAAATGTCCGGTTCAGAAGTTATCCTTTAACAAAGTGTTAGCTGGCAAACATATATGCTTTGCTCTTGTGGGTAAGAAGAAAGACAAAAGAAGCCATTTATGAATGATGAATCCTTAAGGATTACACTATGTTTCGATCTGATTCAAACTCTTACTAGGCTTTGTTTAGGCAGAATGTTGACCTTTCCAACAAAACAATCAAACCCGTGTCATTGTCCATGACAAGTTACATCCAAACTTGGTATTGTTACAAAACTTTGGATAGAAACAATGACAGCTTTATATTTTTCACAATTTCCCGGTGACAACCTTAGAATTCAACCTATTCACTGCAAACATATATAGTTCTTGATTATTGCAGAGAGTAATGCAAAAGTGAATGAGCAAACATGTGTTCCCAGTTTCCCACACCATGGTTGACCTTGGACTTGATTAGGATGGGCCTCTCCACCACTTACTTGCTCATTTGCTAGACCCCGCAAAACCAATTCTGTCATAAGGCTTTCCCATCATGAGGCATGATAAGCCCGTAAACATGCTTCAATCAGTGAGTACACTCTGGATGGACCCCTGCCTCCCCCCACCGACATAAACAAACGCATGATCATCACTTTTAATGCTTTGTGTCTGGCAACTGAATAATTTTTATTTCTATGTACTTAAATATTTGTATTATAAAATACACTGATCTTTCTCATAAAAAAATAATTCTTATGCGTTAATCCGAGTATTTTTGCCTAAATGTTGAGAAAAAATTATAGTTGATGAAAATTTGAGGATGTTATTATAATTTTTAAAACTAGGGGAGGTCAATAAATTGTTTTAAAACCTTTATATAAATTATCAATATTAATAACATTGAAAATGTCCATGGTAAAGATTTTTCTCTTCCATTCTCATTTCCAACTCAAGGGTAACTTTTTTGTGTGTTGTGTGTAGAGCCGACAAAATGGGCTCGGCTCGACGGACCAATCCGCCCCATCAGCTAAACGGGACGAGACGAGCTGAGTTTTTCAATCCATCTCAAAAGTGGAGCGGGGCGAGTCAAGCTCATTTTTTGGTAGGTTGACGGCGGGCATAAGCGGATCGAGATGGATCAGTGTAAAATAGGCTTGCGTTGGCGGGCCAATCCACCAAACGGGGCGGGGCAAGGCGAGTTGAGTTTTTCAGCCCACTTTCAAAATCGAGGCGGGACAGGGTGACTCATTTTTTGGCGAGTTAATGGCGGAGTAGCCCCGCCCCGTCCAGTTTGTCACCTCTAGTTGTGTGGGGCGTTGAAATGGTTAAAGAGAATAAGAAGTGGAAGAATATCTCTTTCAATGGAACAAAGTGGTTTTAAGCGGACTAACTTGTAGAACAAAGTGGTTCTAAGTGGATTAACTTTCTAGGTCACCTATCAATCTCATTTAACTACATACAATGACTTGGCTAATAATAAAGCACTTCCGCAGCTCCCACTTTCGTTTTAATTATGATTATGCTAATGAATTTTTTGTTGCAACAGCTACTCCACTTCTTGCCACTATTAATGATATATAAAATATTTTTAAAAAGCTATAAAAGTTTGCGGTTATCTGATTTACTATTGTAATTGTTTGAGATTGCGATGAAGTTGCTTTTACATGTAACCACTATTTTGTTTTCACTGTGCACAATCTGCAGATATCCTTGCTTTTAAATTTGATGGTGCAAGTTTCATTTTGATTTAACTTGTATCGCTTCTCAACCCTTTTCTTAAATCTATTAGACAGACATGGAGCAATTATTTAGCGCTCCCGGCTCACATGACTCGGGTAAAAACAAAAGTGAAGAGAGAGAAAAAAAGAAAGAGAAGAGAGAAAAGAAGAAAGTAGAGAGAGAGGGACCGTCAAATTATTTTCCCACTATCAGAAAGGGTTTTCATTTTTAATCAACAAATAAGAGAAAGAGGGTAAACATCTAGTTTCCTTCCACGTACATACATCAAAATAAATTAAATAGTGAAATGTAATAAGGGAAAAATGTTTCTGCAGTTAATGCAGATAACTTATCTGCATTTATTCTCAAAACGACGTCGTTTTGGTATTGAAATCTTAAAAAATTATAAATATAAAGACTATTATAACCCTGAAATAAATTAAAATTACAAAAATACCATGATTTCTGCCCCTAAACGACATCGTATTGGACTTACTGTAGATAACTTATCTGCAGTAACTGCAGAAAAAGCGAACCCATGTAATAAAGTCGTACCAACCGCATAATGTTTTATAAAATGTTTTAATGTTTGTTATGTTATAAAAGATAAATGTATTTCTTATACATACATAAAAGTACGCGGGGCTCGTATTTTCTCTTTTTCTCTCTTTTCTTTACATTAACACACGTAGGCCTCACACATTTTCATTTATGCATAGGAGATAAAATTTATCTCCTATAATATGAGAAACATTAAACCCTTTATAATATAGAGTTTAATGTCTCTCATGTCATAATAGATAATTTTATCTCTTATACACACATAAAATTATATAAGGTCTATATTTTTTTCCCTCTATTCTCTTCATATGGCCCCAAATAGGTCCTATACATTTTTTTATGTAAGTAGGAAATAATTTTATCTCTTACAATATGTGAAACATCAAACAATATAAAATATTAATAAGAATTTGTGAATGAATTTTATATTTTATATTAGGGATTAAAGTTTCTCATGTCTCCTATACATACATAAAAGTATGTGAGACTCATATTTTTTCTTTCTCTCTTCTTTTCACATATGCCTACATGGGCCCCACACACTTTCATGTGTATATATGAGATAGAATTTATCTCCTACAACATGAGAAACATTAAATCCTTTATAAAATAAGGTTTAATCTCTCTCATGTTATAAGAGATAATTTTATGTTCTACACACACATAAAAGTATGTGCGGTATATTTTTTTTTCTCTTCTCTTCCTATGGCCCCACATAGGCTTTATACACTTTTTTATGTGTATAGAAAATAATTTTATCTCCTGCAACATGTGAAACATCAAACACTATAAAATATTAATAAGAATTTGTGAATGAATTTAATATTTTATATTAGAGATTAATATTTCTCATATTGTAGGAGACTAGGAGATAAGTCCATGTGAAAGGAAGAAAGAGAAAAAGAAAATATAAGCCCCACACCTTCATATACTTACCACCAACTAAATTTATCACCCTTACAACCAAATTAATCACTGTTAGATTAGAATTAAATCTAACGGTGATTAGTTACACATCATAATCTTAATTTTTTCTCTCACATCCCCTTTCTGTCTGCCTCTTTCTCTCTCTAGATTTGGAAGGTTCAATCAATGGTAGCCTTGATTCAACAATTTAGAGATCGAACTCAAGAAAACATACATGAGAGCCTCGCCACTTTTAGGCAAGGAAGGATAATTGATGAGTATATAAAACAAAAATTCTAAAGCATTTGTGGTAAAGGCTTCCAACACCCTGAAGGAGAAATGATCCGGATACTTGGGCAATATATTATTCAAACTGAGAATGTCCATGGATCCTATGAAGATTAAGAATAATAGAATATACTGCAATAGCCTGGGTTTGTCAAAGACAATGAAAAATTTGTTAAGTGGTTCATTAATCTTATTAAAAATGTATTTTTTTATTACTCAGTTCACTGATCTGGAGTGGTCTTCTGCTCAGATTTAGGCTGCTGCACCTGATTAGTTTATTTCTTCTTGCTCTTTTGTTTTGGATTTGTTGTTTTTGGGGCATTGCCCCTTTTGTTTGCCAAAAAAAAAAAGAACTAGAGAAAGACAGAGAGGGGATGAAAACCTAGAGAGGAAGGAGAGAAGATGTGAGAAAAAAAGTTAAGATTATAATGTGTAATTAATCACCATTAGATTTAATTCTAATCTAACGGTGATTAGGTTGGTTGTAAATATGATAAGTTTAACTGGTGGTAAGTATAACTCTATATCTCCTATAACATAAAAAATATTATTACCTTTATGTTATACTTTAATATACTCTCTTGATAATAGCTTATTGAACTTGAAGGTTGGACTCACCTATGTGTAAAGAAATTTTACAATATTTGTTAGAAAATTATTGAAATAACGAAGAGTAACAATAATTGAATTCTGAACCTCTTGGTTACAAAATATTTGATACCTGTCAAGTAATATATTATTCCTAAAGATTAAGTTGTTAAGTAATTATATACTAATAAATTTTTATATTATATTTTAAAAAAATGATATATAATATCATTAAAAATTTTCATGCAAGGGTATGCGGCTCCTCCGTGTGGGCATGTTTGGTGTACAATATAAGATAAGGTCTGATAGTATAAGATCTGATAATATAAGATCTGATAATATAAGGTCTGATTATATAAGACTTAATTAAATTTTAGCACTATCCAGTATTTGACATAGTATTGTGTAAGATAATATCATCCAGTATTTGATAATGCACTATATAATACTAGATAGGATAAAAATAAATATTTTTAACAAAACTACCCTTTAATATAGAATTTATATAATTATTTCAAATATGTCACATAATATTAATTTTTATAAAAATTTATTGATCAGTGTAT